TCGCTGGCTTTCGGCGCCCGTGCAAGGCACTCAGCAATTACCGTTCTGCGCGCGCTGCAGATTCAGACCATCCTGCCTGCAGGCGTTATTCGCTGGCTATCGTGCCCCCCCCCCCAGACAAGGTCAGAGATGAGCTCCAGGATTGCATTGAAGAGCTCATGGAGACTCAGGTCTATCTGGGCCCCATGATCTCCAGGAGAAGTGGTTCGAGGTTTCGGGGGGGGGGGGGGGGGGCATGGGGCCGTGGATATCCGTTCTTTTTTGAACGGCGTGCAGGTCAGGCTAAGGCAGCTGCTCGCGCTCGCGGCGCGTCCCGCTGTTAGGCGGCGCCGATGCTCGCGGTCGTCGCGCGCGCGGACGCAGATGCAGCTCCCCTGCAAGCCGTCCGCAGCGCGATCGCCTCATGGGCAGGTTCTGACGGTCCACGCAGTTCTTCCGCGTCGGAGCCCTTGAAGTTTTCGAGCCTTTGGGAGAGCGCTCGCGAGAAGACCGGAGAGTCGCCCGTTGAGCGCCGAGGGCCCTTGGATTTTCTATCGCCTGATATTCTCGGATATATTCTGAAATCTCATGGTGCGTTCTCTGCTGTGGGAACAGATGGGTTTCGTTGTGAGCGTATATGCCCCCTCTCGGAACCCCTCCTCCTCGCGCTCTCCACCCCTTATAATATCATAGAGTGCAAGTCCTTGCTACCGAGGCAAATTCGAATTATTGTTCTCTTGCTGCTGGAGCAGCCCATCGGCGGATATCGACCTATAGGCTTATTTCCTTGCGTTTACAAGATCTGGGGAGGGCCCCGCAGGACGGCGCGTAGCTCCTGGGAGGCTGCGAATGTCAGATCACACTTAGTAGCCCCTGCCATCTGCGGGGCCAGCGACGCTGTCTGGCGCCGGGAGCCAGGAGGGGAGATGTTGTTGCCATCGTGCTCGTTTCACAAGTTCTACGAGCGCATCCCTTTAGATGTTCTTCTGGCTCGGGCTGACATGCTAATTCCCCTAGATGTGTCATGCGGCTTGCTGTGAAAGTTGATCGCGGTCCGAGTTTTGTTTCGCTTCCCAGCTTGGCGGATGGTCGTCGCAATACTTTACTCGGCGCCATAGCTGGCTGTTCGATAGCTACCGCATGTACCGAGCCCTACGCCCCCGGAGGTTTCCCATGTGGGCCCTTTTCACACCACGCACAGACGGCGCAGCATACCGTAGCCTTTTTGGTCCAAGAAGGCTGGGTCAAAGATTTTGTTCAGGCAACCCCTGCCCCTTCACAGGGCCGAGTCAAACTAGAGTGCGACGGGCGGCGGAGGCCGAGGCCGAGGCAAGGCTAAGGCCAAAGCCAGGGCGAAGGCCAAGGGCCGTGCTGGCCCTGGGCCTATGCCGGCGCGGCGTCGCCCTGCCGCCAGCCTCGCCGGCGTGGCAGGGCGGCCGCGAGCCCGGGGCAGTGCTGCAGCCCCCGCCGGAGACGGCGGATTCGCTCATGAGCGATGTGGGGCTGCCCTGCCGGGCTGGGCCACGGCCCCAATGACTACCTCAAGGAGGGCTCCTTCATCGAGGTCGGCTTGCCCAAGGGTGCGGGGGCAGCTCTTTTCGAGGTCATCGAGGTCAAACCCACGTCGGCTGGGGCTGGGGCGTTTGTTGTTGCTGATTTCCAGGGGGCCCTGGAGGAGGCAGCCGAGCGCGAGCTCAGCCGAGCTTACGGAGAAAAAGCGGACGCGCCTTTACTGCACCTGTGCGAAGATGCAGGTGAGGCGTGCCACGAACAGCATCAACGGCATCACATCATCCATTGTCATCTCTGGCGGTCCCTCACGAAGTCCGCGGCTCAGACGCGCGGCTACACCTTCAAGGTTAAGGACGGCGACAAGGACGCGGTGCCGAAGGGCGCGGCCAACGCCGGGACCCTGCGGGCCAAGCTGGCCGCCCTCCGAGAGCGCCTCGGTGTCCGGGGCTCTGGCGAAAGGGGCAAATCTGGCAAAGACCGGGGTTTGGTCACCGGCGGGGGCGGTCAGCGGAGCACTGGCAGCTGGCAAGCTGCGCAAGATCTCACGGCTGCTCGCGCCGCCGAGCGTGAGGAGTCAGAGGAGGGAGATCGAGTGCGAGGCAGGAGGAGAAGCAGAAGCAGGCCAGGGGCGGCGAAGGAGAAGAAGTCGTTACCCCTCAGCCTCTTCCAGCAGGAGTTCGAAGGATGGTGAGCCCCTTTTTCGAGGGGCCCGGACCTCCGGCGACCGCATGGAGCGGTGCTTGAGGAACCGGCCGGGCAAGGTCCTAAAGGCAGGCTTGGAGGAGGTGCGCCGTTACATGGTTACTCGCCAGGGCAATTCGGGAGGCAAGAAAGGCGAGCTCGAGCCAACGATGGAGGCCTATTTCGCGAGTGTCTTGTTGCCTTCCGCCAACGGCCAAACGAGCTTCAGGAACAAGGACGCGATGCGCACCCTGGCGAAGATCATCGACTTGATCCTGGAGGGAAAAGTCACCGAGGCGGCGGAGCACGTGATGCTACGGTTCCAGGCCGTCGAGATGGCGCACCACGACGGCCATTGGAACGTGGCCCGGCATCTCACGCCGCTGCCCGACGCGGGTGTGAGTTCTTCCAGCCGGAGTCAGAGGGCAGCGCTACTCCGCGACGAGGAGCGGGACGTCCGAGCTCGGACGATGGCGGCTGCCGCGCGGCGACCGGGAGGGGGCCCGCATTAGGGGCAGCTCCACGGGGCCGCAGACGTCGCTGCAGCCCTGTGGAGGCCGAGGCCGCCTACGCCACCGCGACAACGCGAGCCGAGTCAGGAGAGAGGCGAAGCTCAGAGGGGACTGTCCCCATCCAGCCAGGCAGATCTAGAGATGGCGGCCGGTCCCGCCCGAGTGGCATTGCGTCCCACGGCCGAGGTTGCAACCTTCGACCCGCGAGCCCCCGTGCTAGGGAGTGCTGGGGGGCGTGCCCAGGAGTTCGAGGAAGGTGCGAAGGGCGCTGGAAAGGGCCTGACGCCCAGGCAGGCCAAGAAAGCCGCGTGGGTCCAGAGGATGCGCGAGCGGCAGGGCGCTCGGGGGCGTGGACGGGGCCGCCAGGGGAGGGGTGCCCCGCCTTGGCGGTGAGACCGTTGGCGAGCGGTGGATCGGAGCCACCACCGTCTGGGTCAATTCTTTTTCACAGGACTGCCGGATCGGCACCGGTGTCCAGAGCAGTTTTAGGCCAAGGGATGGCTGGATCAGTACGTGCATCCCCTCCAGGTCAGGCAGAGGGCTTCCTAGGAGCTGCTGCTGTGGCGCCAGCAGGATTGGCACCTGCATGTCCAGCCAAAGTGGCTGAGTCGTCGCAGCGCTCTGGATCGAAACCAGGGCCGCTGCGCGATGCTAGGTCTGGATTGGCTCCAGGCTGCCAGTCTGGATTGGCACCAGCTGGCATAGGTGTAGGTCAGCCTGGATCGGAAACAGGCCTGGATGGAGACAGCGTGCCTTGGGAACGCGTTGAGACCAAGCTCGATAGAGTGACTGCAAGCCTGTCAGGTGGAGGCATGCCTTTACGACATCTAGCAGGCCAGGTACATTCGCTCATCAGGGATCTTCATCGCGAGAGTACATATTCTGCCAGACGGGCCCAGGGTATCGTCTCCCCCAGGGGACGGGAAGAATGTGTTGCCCATGCCCTTGCCATCGGACTCTGCAGAAGAGTATGCACTTAACCACAACCAAGTTAACGAGGTACTCAAGAGAGGGACACGTATCCGTTTCCCAAGGCGCCAAGCATCCAGTGAAGCTGGGCAGTGGCTGCATTATATAATCATTGTTCTCAATGTTTGGTATGCGGGCAAGTGCCGCCCTATTGCGCCAGTGGGGCGGCCCACGACAAGCCAGAAGCACGCCTACTGGCACATGATGACGCGTGTATTGTATGCCCTGGAGGTCGAGCCCATAACCTTGCCGCATATGGATTGGGCCGCCTATCTCCGCAAGAGGGACGTCACCTATCAAGGTGAGGCTGCTCAGCGAGCGCGGCGACTCACTTGGCGCCAGGTGCTGCCGAGCCTGCCGCCCATTGACCGCTGCGCGAGCGGCGATCTAGCTGAGTTGTGCGCACCTTCCGTTCGTCGATGGCTGCTGGGCCCCATGGCGACCCTGGTGGACTTATCAGCCGTCGCGGGACGGCCGCGGCCTGGAGCGATGCTGGGGGACCGGGGCGAGTTTATCACCATCTTCCAGGGGCTCTACGACCGCCGTCTGGTGGTTCCCCTCCGGCGCTCCGAGTTGCTGGAGATTCAAGGCGTACCGTTGTTGAATGGGATGTTTGGCGTTGGCAAGGGAGATCCAGTACCTGCTTCGGGTAGTCCAGACACCTCAGGCCCAGTCGAACCTCACGACGAAGTGTTGCGTTTGATCATGAATCTTACAGCCACGAATCACATGACCACCGAGTTCCCTGGCGACATTGGCAAGTTGCCGTATTACGCTCAATGGCGTTCGCTTCAACTTGACAGCCAAACAGCTTCGACGTGGGGCTATGACGATTTCAAGGGATGCCTCTATATATTTCGTCTGCCCCGGACGTGGGCGCCCTTATTCGCATTCAACATGCAGTTCACGGCGTCCGAATTTCGTCTCGACCGGGATGCCTTCGATCATGCTGAAGCTGTTTGGTGGGGATATGTAACCATGCCCATGGGATGCATACACGCGATGGGTCTTATTCAGCACGCCCTGCGACGAGTTCACCTCTTGCCCGTGGCGGGGTCGAGCCTGAGCTTGCCCATGCCGCGGGAAATACGAAAGGGCAGGGCTGTGCCGCCAGTTATTCCTGGCTCGCGGGATCTCAATGAATTGCGGCAGGTTTACTGCGACGACTCGGATTTACCCAGGGCGGTGCCTGTCCATACGCTGATGGGTCGAAATGCCGATCCCCATGAACTTCGTAGGCAGAGTGCTTACCAGCCTAGGTCAAGTGCCGTTTTCGCTCATTTGGGTTTGCCCATGTCTTCGAAATCAGGCGCGGCGGATCCTTGCCCCAAGCGGCTGGGGGCCCAGGTGAACGGTTTGGATGGTTTCATGTGGCCGGGGCAGGAGCGCCTAGGCCAGGGGGTGGGCCTTGCCGGTTACGTCGCTGGGCCCCGCGCGAGCTCAAAGAAGGATCTGCAGATATTGAGCGGCGCATGGAATCACACATGCACTTTCAGGCGGGAGTTGTTGGCGGGTTTGGGCGAGACTCGGGGGTGCGTCGAAGGGTTCAGCCCCATCTCACGCAGGAAGTTGCCCCTCAAGGTGCGCTGTGAGTTCCTGCAGATGGTCGTCTTGGCTCCCCTCGCCTCCTTCAACATGCGCTCGCCGGTTGCCACCCGGCTGTCCTGTTCAGATGCTTCCGAGACTGGGTCGGGGGCGTGCGTGGCGAAGTGCCTTGCCCGTATTGGCCGGGGGCATGTCGCGAAGCAGCTCGCGACGGCGCTTGGGAGAGGCCGCGACGTGCTGGGCTTGCTGGGGATCAACTCACCACCCACCAAACCACCCCAACCCAACCCGAAGGCTCAAATTTACCTTCGATTTCCAGTGGGGGGGGGGGTCGAGAAACATCGAAAAAAACACGTGGAATCCTTGCCCCCCCCAACCCGAAATTCGGGTCTTCGGGTTGGGTTGGGGTGGTCTGGCAGGTAGTCATCAACGCTGGCGCTGGTTCGGCCAGACGAGGCCGGGACTTGCTCGGGGTCGATCTCGCTGTCTATGCGGCCGTCGAGCGTTCTGAGGAGGGGCGCCGGGCCATGAGCCAGGCATGGCCGGGCGTCCTGCTATTCGGCACCTCTGGGGAGCTGCTGGGGGAGCGAATGCCCGAGCTGAGTCAGCGCGCGGCGCACCTGGAGAAACTCCTAATTGTGGTGCATCTCAATCGTGCCGGCGGGGATGCAGACGCTGCTCGCCATAGAATCGACCTTGAAATTTCAGGCGAGGGAAGTAGAGGATATTATCCGGGCTAAATGGGATTGGATTGAGCTGGGGCATTTGGTCACCTACGGAGGCACCAAGCTGGACAGCGATAGGGGGATCGCCCAGCACGTCACGACTACCTTCGGTCTGCGACCGTTGCTTATCAATCCCCAGGGTTGGATGCAAGTGGACTGGCCTACTGTGGCCTGGATGGATTGCCAGTTCGAGGTGCACGGCCGCGTGGGCGTTCGCGGACCCCTTGGCCTCGACGCGGTTACGTTGGCACCCAAGGCGCCTCTTTGGAGCCGCCGCGTTAATGTGGACGCGGACACGGGCGAAGCCGACCGCCATGATATTTGTTGGATGCCGGCCATGTGCGGCAGGCCAGTGAACGGCTATGATTACGAGGCTTGGATTGGCGTTTCGATGGAGGCTCGCACACGACGCGTCGCTGATGCTGAACGCTACCCACCACGGCACTATGAACGAGCTGGCACGGTCAAGACGCAGGGTGGCCGGCGTGTGCTGTGTTCTCGTGAGCAGTCAGTGCGATCAGGTTTTGCCCGGCTGCATTTCGAAATTGGCCTAGGGCGAGCTGGCCGTTTGCTGGCAGAACCCGAGGGGGGCCAAGCGCGTGGCACTCCTCAGCCGCACCGCGCCCGCACCTCAGATGAGCCTCGTGCTCGCGCCTCGTCCGGTCGAGTGGGGCGCCCTTAAAGGACCTGCCACCGCCGATCGTGCATGGGGCCGCCCAGGCGAGGAAGAGCAGGAGTTCTTTCGACAAGTAGCTGGAACTGGAGTTGGCGAGTTTTCCGGCGAGCGGTTGCACTCCTTGTTCTTAGACTCCTTTATTCGGAGCGTTGCTTTTACAGGGTCCGATGTCCGTATCACCACAGGGACATTTTTTTTAATCCTAAAGCGTGGCCGAGGCTATCTATCCTGCTTTTTGGGATTGGAAGGTGTTATTTAGCAGTCCGTCCTTGCCTCCACAGATCAATCTGTTGGAAGCGAAGTCTACCATATCTACGTTGCAAGCCGGTTAAGAACCCCAAGTGAGCTTGGATGCAAGTTGGCTTATGCGGTTGATTCTCAGGTAAAGGTCGAAGCTCAGCAATTACGTTAACAGCCGCAGTGAAAAGATGTGACGCTCTGTACTTGGCTGCCTGCTGCCACCCCTACTACATATGTGTGGACCAGGGTCAACCCGGCCGACAATCCGTCCAGATGGTGGTCCGGCGATCGCGCCTAAGACTGGCGGCTGGGCGGCGAGAGCAGCGGAAGTTGGAGCGTCGCAGATTTGGAAAATTGCGGAATTTGCTGATATCGAAAAGAACCAAGATGCGTTACTCTATAGGGCTGTGCTATCATACTTTGAGGAACTTGAGAATCCATGTTTGCCAGATCCTGATTCCACATTTGATTTGGACGAGTCTATTGGAAATAGGCTTGAGCAGCTTTGGGAACATGGCGAATCACGTTCCGAGGCGGCGGATTTGGCATGCGGAATGCAGCATTTCATACCAGCTTGCAAAGGGCATTTGAAAGAGAGTTGGCGCCTCTTGGCGCTTTGGCAGTCGTTCGAATTTCCCTCGCGGGCCCCGCCGGCGTGGACCGAATTGGTGCAGGCCATGGCTGCATTAGCGCTGCGGGAGAACGACATCGGCCTAGCAGCGGCATACCGGCTTCAAGCTATTCTTGCGAACAGGGGAGATACATTCACGCGTGCGCGAGGACTTCACTTTCGATTATGACCGCCAGAGAGTTGTTATCAACCTTCGCCTTACAAAAGGGGGGAAACGTATAGGTACAGAAGAACAGGTAACCACCACGGACGAAGGCGTTTTCTTATTGTTGGGTCTTTCTCTGGAGGACCGGATGCCAGGATATCACCTCGTCGGCAAGGGCGAGCTCCATTTCCGAATTTCGTTTAAGAGGCACCTTCAACTATTGGGCCTTGGTCCCGATTATTTCAAGCCTTATTCACTACGCCGTGGTGGGGCGACTTCACACTTTGAAGAGATTGCTCCTTTTGATCTTACCATGGAGATTGGGAGGTGGCAGATCTCCCGGACTGCACGTCAATATCTCGATTCGGCGCAGAAGTGGTTGAACGAGAAGGTCCTGACGCAAGAGCAAACGAACCGAATAGCAACGCGTCGGGCTGAATTCTTGGAATTTCTCAAATAATTCCTCTTCGTAGCTTTGCCATCGTGGAGGGGCGTGGAGAGACTGCTTTTTAGCACGAGCGCTGCATGGGCTTTAAGAGCCACTTGCGCTGGCGCCGTCTCTCGGCAGCTGCGCTGCGCATCACATCATGATGTGCACAGGCGCATGCGCCACGGAGGGACCAGTATTGCAAAGGCTGGCAGGAAAGAGTAACATGCGAAGTCATCCGCCCCCGGAGGTTCCCCATGTGGGCCTTTTTCACATCACGCACAGAATGCGCAGCATACCGTAGCCTTCTTGGCCCCCGCTTCCACCCCCCCGTCTGTTCAACCTTGAGTGCATGAGCCATCGCTGGGAGAGACTGCTTTTTAGCACGAGCGCTGCATGGGCTTTAAGAGCCACTTGCACTGGCGCCGTCTCTCGGCAGCTGCGCTGCGCATCACATCATGATGTGCACAGGCGCATGCGCCACGGAGGTGCCAGCATTGCAACGGCTGGCAGAAAAGAGTAACATGGGAAGATATTCCTGATTCCTGCGCTGGACCTGCGCAGTTTCATTCGTCTGCCTACATGGGCGGCTACGGCATCTCCTCTGCAGGCTCTCGGAGGCGCGTCTCAGGCCGCGCCAGGGAGTCTGCGGCAGCGCGCGCAGACAGCACCTGGGCCCAACTGTGCAGTGCCATCTCGGAGAACAAGTCATCGCTCATCTCCTCGCCCCGCAGGCTCGGCGCGGAGCTGCGCAAGTTCTTCGGGGGTCTGAGTGGGGCCGCAGTCTCCGCGGCGATTAATGTAGGCGTCGACGACGCAGATGGTCGTCTTTGCAGGCGCCCCAAAAGGGCCCCAAAGCACCAGCATTGCAAGAAGGTTCTCGAGACTCGGGTAGAACGCATCGCCGGGGCCAGGGTCGCTGTGGGAAGACACGCGAATAAGATGTTTTGTTTTGGTGGTTTGGTTGAGGCCACTTATGGGGGCGACGTTCGCGGTGTTTCCGGTTGCGAATTGGAGAATATGAGGAGGGTTTTTGCGAGCGCGGTGAAACCGAGTTCGGGTCTGCGTTCCTTGCGCCCCCTCGCCATCTTGAGTTCTGCTGGCGCCCGTCAGCGTCTCCTGTGGTTTAAGCCTGCTGAAGAAATTTGACCCAGCCAGCTTCGCGAATAAGAGTTTGCTATTTCCTTCGGCCAGTTGCGGGGGGCGTGGGCCTCAGCGTCTGCTGCAGGTTGCGCCGCGCGGCGCAGTTGCCGGGGGCCGCTGTCGGCAGCCCGTTTATCGTTGGAGCGAAATGGCATGTCTGACTTCGCGACTTTGGCCTCGGACGCGGGCGCGAACATCGGCCTCGCCACCGCTTCCCCGAAGCCCGCGGGGAGACGCTAGGATCGAAGGGGTCTCGAGGCCCTCAGAAGTCGCCTGGGAAGAAACTCGGTCTCGAAGGAAGGTCGTGATTCGACGCGGTCAAAGTTCACCTCAGGTCAAGCAAGCTGACCCCATTGGAGAAAAAAAGGCCACCTCCAGCGTTTTGCCTGCGACGAGCTTTGGGCGAAGACCCGCGCGCGGGAAGCGGGCGATGCCTTGGAGGGTGACGATCTCTTCTGTGCCCCATGTAAAGGCGCCCCCGACACGAACTCCCAACGGCTATATCAGTGCCCAACGGCCGAGGATCAAAAAGCGGGGGTCGTCGGTCCTCAGTTTATTCAGTTGGCGCTGGCTGCTTAGCCTGACCGGGCAGACTACCAGCTGCACGCCGCGGCGCGTTCCCCGCGCCCAGGTGCTGGCTGCCCCCGCCAGCTAAGAAGTCAGATATTTCAGCATCTTTGCTTGGTTCGACTTCTACCAGTATTGGGGTTGCAGGGCATGTGTTTTTGGCGGGATCCAGACTACGCGCGATGTTCTTGGATCGAACAGGGCTGGTAGCTGCGCTCAATGACGGGCGCGAACACGTTTGCCCCATTGGGGGCCCGATCTGGGCCGATCTTCCTCAAACTTTTCAGGCGGGTGGGGGGGGGGGGTCGGCGCCTGCGGTGCCTCCGATGAGTTTCTTGTGAGCCCCATCTGTTGGATATAGAGATTGCAGTAGTGCGGTCAAGCAGCTTGCCCAGCCGCGAGCTAAACAGATTCATACTAATAGGCCATATGTAGGGATATTTCCAAAGCGTCATTCCCTTTTCTTGGGTCGAGAAGGCCCTTGCACGCGTTTTGGGCTGCGCGGGCCTCTCGCGACACGGGCGCTTCTGCAAGAGAGGCAATGCCGTTGCAGATCTCGCAGCAAAGCCGGGCGCGCCATCACATCCCCAACCCGCGCCTGATGAGCTGCAGGAGGTCAGCCGCCTCGCTTCTACTGCTCGGAAGGTGTGCAAGCTCGGCTGCACGCCGTTACCTCCTTGGCCAAAGTTAGATATGTCCGATGTGCCGCGGGCCCGTCGGTCCGATCCTGTTGCCAGGAAAGTTGTCACTTCAGATACCCACCGGTGGCTCTGGTGTCGTACCTGTCGGTGCTGCCAGCCAATCCTGCAGCTTTAGATGCAGCAGTCTTCTCCGCTTGTTGCTGGTTACTCTGGTAAGTTGCCGCCAGTCACCCTTGGCTTCCAGGAGCGTGGTCATGGATTGGTTGGCCTTCAGTGTTCCAATGACGCCATCCTGTGTTTGTGCATTCGATGCTATTGTTATACGTGCGGTGGCCATCTCAAGAAGCTCCGAGTCCATTGTAAGCCTGAGGCCAAAAGTTCCTTGAGCAAGTACGATGCGTCTGCCAGGCGTGCTCTCAGTCGTGGAATGCACCCGAAGCTTGCAGATGTAATTTGTTAGATTTTCAACCCTGATGATTTTGAGCAGGACGAGGCCGGCCAGCACAGTGATTCGGTCGTCGAACCGTCGTTCGTGTCGGGGGGTGTGGGGCTTTTCCGCGTCGGCTGCGCCATGCTCTGCTCTTGCTCCCAGTTCTCCCCCCCAGGCTCCTGGACCGCCTGCGGAGACCAGGCCACGGCCCATGTCTCGGGGGAGGAGCTCCAGTTTTCCGACCCCTTTGAAGGCGAGGAGGAAGCTGCGAGGTTTCTTCTCGTTTCGCCTGGCAGGCCTTCTTCGCCCAATGCGATAGAGGAAGGCCAGCGCGGGCAGCACCAGGCCGTCAGAGAGCGTTTCTTTCGTGAGGCGGGCGGGGTTCCCTTGATTGATTTGCCCTGTAGGGGTCCTACCTCGAAACCTACTAATTGGTCCGTTGCCCCCTCCCCCCCCTCATCCCCAGGTTGTTT